TGATGTGCCTCAATGAGGCTTCTAGGAAACACAGGGAGCTATTTCTCTATTCTATTTAATGATGGCAGGAGAAGGCTAATTGCCCAAAGGATAGTTCTCCAAAGATTCAGACAAGATTTTTTCATTAAAACAGAAAGTTAAAATTGTAGCATGTAGTGGTTAAGAGCCTCTTAGTTCTGTTAGGTGGAAGTTACAAGCCTGGTTCTTAACCACAGGCTTTCTGCCTCTAGGCAACCACTGAAACTTTTTTTTCTCTGCAACTGCCTTTTGCATAATGGAGTTAATAATGCAGGGTGCCAAGTTCATAAAGCTGATGAGGTGATACAGTGTTTGGGGTGGAACCTGGATTTGGTCTCTTCAGAGTTGAGCGAGACGGGTGGTTGTTGTCATGATGTGGAGGGGCTGTGTTGCTCCCTGGGTGTTTTATAGTTGAGTAACCTTGGGCAAGCCTGCAAATATCTCTGAACCTCACTCAAGTTTTAACTCTGTAGAAAATAGTATTTACCTTAGGGTTGGTATGCCTGTCATCATAGCAAATGTTGTCAAGTATATAAAATGCACTTGGAATTAGCACGTGCTTGTTAAGAGACAGCCGCTATTATAATTATTGACATCTGATGACATGATCTTACTATTTACTAAGAGTATTATCTAGGTCAGACAAGGTATATAGAATATTATATTACTTTATATGCACACACACACACACGACGTTCTCATGTCCGAATGCAAGCCTACAGCCATCCTGACTCCTCTGGGCCAGCCTGGATTATTTTGGGATGATGTAGGAAGTAGGATGTTTCTCGCCTACTTCTGAATCCTATGGATGGGAGTCCTCTTTCATCATCAGTGGAGTTTTTAACTTAATTAGTAAACCTGTGTAAATATCAAGAATGGGAAGCTTTGTGAAGGTAACTTATACTACTTTATAATTTCAGGCTTCTTATAGAACTATTTAGGGAAAACTAGGATGTTTGGACTTTCTATCAATGAAGAAAAAGGATGCACACTGAGGGGGAAAGAAGACTGGTGTGAATGTAAATAAACAAGCACATCAGGCAATGTAAGTCCACAAATCCATTCTGGAATCTCAAACTGACTAGTCTGTGTACAAATGAAGGCATTTTTCTAATTGGGTATTTTCTGTGGGATTTTCTGTGGAAAACTTAAAAGCAAATCTCTTTTAAGTTTTCAACATTGGAAGGATACTCACCAGCAAAGCCAACCAACATGTTTCTGTATTTGTAAATGTCAACATGTCAAGATGATTTAACATTGGTCATTTCACTCCCAAGGCTTATGAGACTTTGAGTTACTACTTGTAAATATAACACCAATGTCTCTACTCTGGTGGATTTACTGTTCTTATTCTGTCCTGGCTCTTTCCTCCACAAAGCCATTTTTTAAGAAATATAACGGGAAAAGTTTCCTTTCACATACAGGACCGGACTTGAACAAAACAGAATTGAATATACCTTGGAAGTCCCCGATTGGCTTTCTTTACCTCTCCTCCATCCTAACAGCCACCTCATCCAACAACTCTGTTTCTGAAGGGGGATGACCTGCTTGTCCACGGCCTGTACACTTTCCATACTCCTTTGGGCATCCTCAGTCTGTTTACTAATGTCTGTCCCATTGCTCTAAACGAGGGGAACCAACTAACAAATGCCTTGAGTTAATAGATCCTAACATGGTCTTTTTCAGCAGTGGGGAGTATCCAACTCTTTGGCCCCTCTGATGTTGGGGACATTCTGATGGGTCATGTATCCTGTTTTTTTTTTTCTTTAAAATCACACTGCATGCATAGCTGGTAGGGATATCTTTCCCAGAACAGACACTCTTATATTATTCCTGCTTTTTTACAACCATCATCGGAGATTCTTGATTTGGAACCTCCTTCACCTCGTCAGGTCAGACCAAGAATTAAATTAAAGCTGTAGCTACTCACACAGAGGGGAAGAAACGCTGGTCAAATTGTTTTCTTTTCATCTGTTTTACTAGAACTCACTTCCATTTCATCTGTGCTCCTCTGCTTCTTCTAGGCTAAGAACCCATAATTTTAATCCATGATGTCATTGCAAAACAGTGAGTTGAATCCTCCCCTTTTCTTTTTACTGAAGCAAGAAAGAGCTTTATGTGAAACGTGAAAGGAAAATAAATCTTAACTATGAATATTGTCTTTCAATCAGCACTGACCTCCCTGATTTTTCCTGAATATTTCACCTGGGCAATAATTTTCTATTAGCATCGAGGAATTGCTGGAGGAAGAAATGTTAGATCTAGTTTTTTAATTAACTTTGCCATTGATTTCTACATTATTGTGTATGAGTCACTGTTCTTTAACAGGAGGGTTAAAAATCTCAAAGATTAATTGCTGTTCTCAGGGATTTTTCTGGATCTGGTTCCAGATAGTCTGCAGCTTTGTCTTTTCCTCTTCTCTGAACTAATTAGCTTACTCTGTGCTTTGCCCCAACACACACATTTGTTCCTATGTACACACCGAATGTACTTTTGGAAGGAAAATATTGAGGGAGAAAAGTGATTGTGCACCACATTAAGTAGTTGATGTAAAAAAGTCTGTGCTACAATGCTTCCCAGTTCAAATGGCACTTATATCCCTCAAATGAAAATTCACTTATTAATGAATGAAGAGGATAGTAGCTAGTGGACCTTAAAATAAGTCAGATTGACACAATATATTTCAGTTATTTGAAGTTCATACTTCTTGTCCTGCAAAATAACAGTATGGGAAAAGAAAAATAATATTTTCTGAAATGAGAAAAATATCTTATGGGTTAT